GTCCTATTTTAATCTTTACTAGGCACTTTTACCATTAGTCATTGATCTGCAAAAATGTCATTGTTCTATAAAAGTAATGTACTCAAATGAATTATACATTAAATATGAATTTATGTTCTTAACGTCAAAATGGAGAAAGGAAATAATATGTTCATATTGTCTACTCTTCAATGTTTTCATGGCATTACGAGCCGTCTCAGTGCTGAGGAGCTGTTGGCAAACTGGTTGATGATCTCTTCATTTGATATGTCACTGACCTCTGTTTCTCCATGTACGTCAGGAAAAGTGCCTCTAATATTTCCTGCCCAATGTTGCTTCTTAATATAAATTTAAGCGTCGAGAAACTTCTTTCACCATTGACTTGCATTACACTAAGCGGTACTAAGATTTGTTTCTGCGCACAGTTGTATCCTCAAACTCATTTCCAGGATCTGGGAACAAAGTTGCTGTATCCTCTGACCAGTCATCGTTGCATTCACTCCCACTATCTTCCGACTCAGAATTCGGAATTGGTATTCTTCAGGAAGTCTACCAGCTGCTCACTTCACTAAATTAGGTCTATACATGATTTCCATTCTTTTTCTTTTCACAAAGACTTTCTAGTGAATTTTGAGGCAGCCTCTGTCTTCTGAATTCATCCAATCGACGAGGATCCAAACAGGAAAAATCTTGGTAAAGTCCTTCTGGACTGTTCTGGTTCTCAAATCTACGTACTATTGGTGCTTGTTACAATTTGATCCATTACGACATTGAATAGATTCACTTGATATTGATGAGCATCCATCGCCCTATTGTCAGTGTCATCTTTTTTACCGAAAGGTAGTTTCCTTTCTTCTACTGCAACATCGGTATTAAAGGAAGCCCGTTTGTTCTTGGCTTTCTTTGCGAACTTTGTGGCGATATTCAGGACAGTTGGAAAATCTCTGCGGATCATCTTAAGTTTTCCAATAGCAGATTGAACCATCCTCCTTGCTTGAAGAGGATCTAAGGCACAAGTTTCAAAGTATTCGGAGAGTCGTTTCGTAATTGAAAATATCCTGTTGAAGATGGTCGTTATAATCGGCTCAAACTTTAGCATTTTATCTATTAGAGTTTTTGTCTCGTCTCTGGTAGACGGGTTAAAGAGCACACTGCTTGCAATTTCTGACCACGAAACCAAAACATATACGTATAAGGAATTTTTTACAGCCTCTCCGTCATCATACTTCCCAAAGATTTTCTGAATCGCGCCTGCTTTGGCCCACCAACGTGCATTTCCAACGGTGTTAAGCTGCTCTAATTTTTTGACTCAAACACCGAATCCACTCATTCATTCGTTTGTGCGATCCGCGAGCAAATTAAGCAACAAGAAAAGGCTCGTTGCAGGAAGCGTGGAAGAAGTTGTGTACGAGCACGGTGTTAAGGGTGTGCGCGTAGCACCGGACATCGATGTGGTTCTTAGCAAGTTCACCTATCCGAAGCTTGCACACCTCCATACTGTCCTGACATAATCTTGGCATCATCAAAACTATTCCCCACGCAGTGTTTTCTCTTTGAGTTGCTTGTACTCGCCCTGTTACCCAGATTTCAATGTTAAATTATAAGCAGAGGATTGCGCGGGCCGCGGGTCCTATAATATACTATAAACATGCAGTGTCGTCCCATCGATTTTTCAGCAAGTGTTTCCCAGTGTGTGCGGGCATGATTTTTGTCGGATTACTACGTGTATATATATATATATATATATATATATATATATATATATATATATATATATATATATATATATATAT